CCTCTACCCGTTGACCTTTCAGGCATGATTGGATCTACGGCTGTGAGAAGCCATCCTGTGTAGCTCGCAGGGTCACTGAGGCGCGCAAGCCATCACACCACGTCAAGGTGCAGTCTCGTCGTGGTGGTATTAAACATCAACGAAATGAACAACAAAGGGGGTAGCAACATTGTCATGAATCTCGTGGATATAAATGATGAATGGAAAATTAAATCCTGGAAAATGGAATGGTGAATCACGTAATGCCCAGAGACAGAACGCATCTAGTCTATTCCACACTACATAATTCTGATCGGGCGAATGAGTAAGCAACATTGAGCTGAGATAGGCTCAGCTAATCATATTCGCGTAATGCAGAAAGTGTCCCATAGATTACGATGGCTGCGGCATGTGATAAACAGATAGCATTCTTCCGCACGGAACGTTCGTCGTGGAACAAATTAAGGGTGGCTAAAATAAGACCCAGACATATCGGTCACATTGGACGCACTGGGCTTCCCAGTTGGAAAACCCATAACAAGCTTGATCGAGGGTTCGAGACACAGTGATACGGTTGCGTCGAAAAAATTGGCGCTCTTTCGACGCAGATCTAATTCATTTGCTTTCTTTATCTTTACTTTCATGGTGCATTTCGCTTTACAACCGTCGATTTACTTCTGTTTATTATTCAAACCAATGGATAGCGGAAAACGGAAACTGAGAAATCGAGTGAAAGGATTGCCACGGGCCTGAATAGCAGTCTCCTTTGTTATAGTGTATTAGTAGCCAAATCAGTTCTGACTTTTGACCTGAAACACTGTCACAGTTCTCATTAGCAATTAGCACCATGTTCTCTAGGTTGTGGCGCATTCAGTGGTCTGGGGAATAGATAGACTAAAAATCACCATGCCTTCCCATTTATGAACTATTTGCAAAACTTGCGGTGACGAAAGAGTCGGTTTGGTAGTCCAAATCGGGGATTCAAATTTCGATCTAAGGCGAAGAACTGAAACTTCATGGCTATATGCTCTTACTTTACTGACAACCAGAATTTAAAGCAAATTAGAGCAAAAATCCTTCTTTAGGGCTAAACTGCTACAAACCAATATTCCTCTGACTCATTTGTATGCCCCAGGTGCCAATGTTTTGCGAAATACCGATGTGTTTTCGCTCAAATGCTCAGCAATTAATAGCCGTAATGGTTTTTTTTGCAAGGTTCACAATCAAATGTTACTTACCAGATTCATTGATATGTGGTGAACTGTAGGATTCCGATTTGGTTACAGCTGTCCAGTTTTCAAAAGGTGCATCCGATTTTCCAATTTTATTGTCTTTTACAGAATCGAAGACAGTTTCATCTAAGATATCATCTTTTTGCATTCCCACACCTAGCTGATCGCGATGCTCGTGACTGACAGATTGAGTGAGAGCATCTAAATCATTTTTCGGCTGTGATATCTCTTTGCTCATATTCGATGGGATGGAATGGTGAACATGAGGTCGTGGCTGTAATTGACGTTGTGGTTGCTTCACTACGGGTCGATTCGGAACGGGAACAGCACTGGGTCGTTTGTCGCCACCACTGTCCGGAGATCGGACAATGCTGATAGGTTGTATCGGCTTGAAGTAGGGGCGGCGAAGAGCCTGTGACGTGTATGGGGAGATTCAATCAATAACCAGTCAGAAATGAACGGAGAAATCAATATCCGTAAACAAAGGCCCTGCCAGGTAATTCCTCTGTAAAACACCCAACAAAGCATTACCAACAATAAAATACAGTTTTCCATCTGAAAAGTGCATCCGCGTAAGTGGAATCAAGGTAGAGCCATGAAGCAGGAAAATTTAATCCTGTGGCTTCCGCTCGAGTAACTGGTATGACAGCATTTTCCTCATGCTCACACATTAAAGGAACAAGTGAATGCTTAAGCAACACCTGTTGTTAGTGATCACTATGATTCCTCACCGATAGTGTGAATGTACAAGACCACTAGATAACCGGTCACAATCGACCTCAGAGAATGAGTGACCGGGGTTGGTTTAGTATGATGCCTTCGATGGTGTGGGTTCCACACGGTAATGAGCTGAGGTTTTGTGATCTTCAGAATTAGACATGATTTTTTGTCTTATGTAGCTGAGAGTTTCATAGAAATTTCATCGATTATTTACCTATAAAGTGACTGGACCTCTGCAACGATCAAGAAAAGGTATCCGGACAATATGGAAGTTGTTTAACGGTCTCGATAAAATAACCCTCTGAATATGCTTGTGAATATTTTCATGCCTGGGCAACCTGGTAGTATTCCGCCCACATGCAAATCATAGAACGTCTTTGTTTTTCATAAAGATTATTGTACCATGATTCGTTTAGCACAGTCTGGATTCAGACATGTATAAATAAATATATAATATATAAAAAATAAACATATAAAATCAGATGTGCATGAAAAGTGCAAGTGTGCATGACATGAGGAGGGGGGCTGACATTAACCACAACCACGGAGCATACATAAACTAGTTAAACGGCAACTGGTCCCATACCTCACGTGCCGTGGGTCGGCGTTTTGGATTCCATGCGATCAAATCCGCGATCAGCTGAATGGCTTCTCGATTCGCATTCGGAATAAGGGAGCGCAAACAAGATGGACTACATTGGGGAAACTTGAAATTCATCGCAGCTGCTAACTGATACCCTTCGGGCCAGTCGGTCTAATTAAGAATGGGGAACATGAGCAAAGCATACAGAGAAAAGTATATGATAAATAACCAAATTGTATTACACGGCGGAATCTAGGCAATGACATAAGCTGTTCACTTGGGTTTTAATACAGTGACCAAAACATTAAACAAGTCAGCTTCAAATAATGAACTGGAAAAAATGACTTTCAATCCTAATACAGTGAATTCACTAATGTTAAATAAACCTGAGTCATTGTGGCAGCAAGGCTATTTGGTAAATATGCAGGCTGAATTTTGGATACTTA